TATAACAATATTGTTATATTAGCTTAGAAATAATCAGTTATTGGATTGTGGATATTGCTGGACTGTTGATTTCAGTAAACCTCAGCAAAGCTTTTATAGTAATTAATAGCCTAATCAAATAAAAACACTGACATCTGATGCTTCTTTTTGATACTATAGGATATGGTAGTATAAGGATGTCTATCTGTTTTTATTAACTTCTGAAAAAAATGGAGGGGGTTCAAACCCTTTAGAACTGTACCTGCTTGTTCACCATTAAATAATACAATTAATTTCGGGAAAAACTGACACTAAATGATTTAATCTTTGCTCATAAGTAATCAGTTATATTGCTCAATTCTATTTGTGCATATAGCAGTGCCTGTAATTCTGTCTTAGAATATATTGTAAAATGTGTGTGAAGCAAAAAAAACAATAAGTTGGTTATGATTCACTACCAAGAGTTCCTATTTCATCCACTCTCCTCTTGCTTTGAAATTAACAGTAACTAATACTCATAACTACCATCAAGAAGTCAACGAGTAGAAATGGGCAAATGAATAGATTCTTTCAGTAAGATTAATGGGGAACTAGTACAAGTAGAAATACTTTTGTTAAAGAATCTATTTCTGATATTGTTAAGGGTCTGAATTACCCTATTTGTAAGTTTTATGTGAGTAACACTTAGTTCGTTCACTATATTTAATGTTAAACTTGAAGTATTTTGTATTAGTTCCTCAGAGTAAGGTTTTAATATGTTGTAAAATTGTTTAGTAGGATCTTCTGGCAGACTAAAATCATTGGTGTTTCGAGTGCTTCATTAACATAAACTTCCTGTATTAGTTAGTTTTGAAACTATTTCATTAGAAGTAAGAAAGGTTTTTGATTTTAAGTCCTTTTTTTCTTCTAGGTGAACTTGATGGGTAATTAAACAATTGGCTTAACTGAAATCCTAAGCTTAATTTGTGTACGGAATTTTGTGTGAACTTTTTAACATCATCACCTGATATATTTGTAATTTTCAATTGGATAACTCTAAAGCCTGAAGTATGTTATTTGTTATGACTGTGTACATTCCAATTTCTTTTTAAGTCTCTGTTTTCATTAAACAAAATGTCTGAACATACTTGTAAAAAATCCACTAAAAATATATATCAAGTTCCATCAAATTGATTTTTCTAAATATGAAGCTGTTCTGGTATTTATTCACCCTATTTCCATTAAAAATTATAAAATTTAATTTTTTTCTTCAATACCTTCAAAATTATGATGCAGTGTTCAGATTACCAGTACTGCACTTGGTTAACTGTCTCTATAATTCCCCTCTCAAACATAACTTTAAGTTTTACTTTTTTTAAACTTGATGAACATGTAACTGCAACAAAATAAAATGTATAATTTACACAAAGATAAGTTTCACTACATTTAAAATTATGCTGTATTCTAATGGCACAAATATGGTCTGTTACCACCAATTTTCACTGCCTTGAAACAATCTTATTTCAGGAAAGTTCTCTTAATTCAATCATTAAAACTGGTCAGGAGAGATAGGAGAAAAATTCATCCTGCACTAATGTACTCCTCTAGCAATCAATTATGGCATGCATTATGATCCATGTTGATGTCAGAATTTCCAAAATACAGAGAAACCATTAATACACATCATGAATGACAAATATTGATATACGTTATTAATATTGGTGCACAGAACACTTTATGACATTAGCCTGTAACATTCTTAATATGGAATTATAAGTTTCATAATATGTGTTTGAATTTTTTGAGTGAGGTAAACTTCAGATATTTTGTTTCTAATTCAAAAATATACAGAGAAGTACTATAAAAAGTCGATGCTTAACATATAAAGCTTAAAAAAATATAAATTAGCTTGTGTTTTAACAAGTTTCCTCTGTTTTGAGAAAAATGTAAATGTTTTCCAGTTTGTGGGTATAGCTAAGAAAAGATAAAATGCTGATTTTATTCATTTTGCAAAACCATGTTGATTTCTATGTGTATGTATTAATATATATATATATATATATCTTTTATTAATGTGTGTGTGTATATATATATATATATCTTTTCTGACATAAATAAAATTGTTTCGGGTAGATTTATCACTGTACCAAAATATAGAATTTATTAGGTTATATACATTAAATGCTTGTATAACAAAAAAATGTCAAATAACTTGAACACAAAACTGAGAGAAAGTTACTAGATCAACTAAAAACAATACTTATAGTATAACTACCATAGCAAAACTGTGAATCTTTATATATTGGTTGCTTTATCTGTTTAGGTTAAAACATGGATCCAAATCTTGTTTGATTTGATGTTAATAAGATATGTGTTTTAATAATTTTATATTAAAAATTATTCAGGAGTTGATCGGAACTATCCAGGCATGTGAAGCGTGGAAGAGACAAGCCAAAGATGCAAGTGAAAGAGAAAAAGTACGAGAACAACAAAGAGATGAGGTAAATTTAAAACATTTGCCTTCAAGAATTAATATTTGACAGTAATAATCATTTTTCAGGAATATTTATAGATGATTAAGAATATTAATTTGTTGCATATTTATTTTATTTTTGTATACAAAATTTTTTTTTATTAAAACACTTGATATTGGAATCTAAACAATAAATCTTGATCAGTGGAGGTTTTATAACAATTTTTTTATGATCAATGTGTCACAGGTACCTGAAAGTACATAGTTTAGGTGTTTTGAATTTGTCTTGTTAGTCGACCTGTTTATCAGCCTTTATCTATCAAAAGCTTGGTGTTTGAATAGAATCTCAGTTTTCATCATCATACCTTTCCTTTATTTAACTTTAGAATACTACATTTAGGACGATTTTACAATAGAGTAACATTTTACAGTTTGGAAATTCTGGTTCTATTTGTTTTGCCAGTGAGGAAGCCACTAATGTAGTGATTTTATTCTCCATGTGAAGTTCAGATGGCTTAGTCTGCTGTGTGATCACTAGCCGGATCAAGTGATATGTCCACTTCCATCCCTATCTTGTTTGGTCCTTTTTTCAAGTTCAGTAGCCAGCCCTACATAGATTTTTTATGTAGTCATAAATTTTTTTACTAATACTTGTTTGTTTACTTTTTTTTTATAAGATAGTGTATGTGGATTACTAGGTTATAGAGTGTATTCTACAGCTTTATAAATTTTGCATAGAATGATAATAAAATAGTTAAAGATCGTGAAGACTGTTTTGCTCTATCAAATGATGGTTATAGTTACTGTTAGAACTAGGTAGGCACTAGGCTTGTTGAAAAAAAAAAGATTATGATGAATGAAAGAAATTTTGGTTTTGGCTATGCACCAGTTTTCGACTTTGGGAAGCTCTGGAAAGCTGAAAAGCGGCATATATACCGGAGATAGAGCAACTATGCCAGGTATAGCTCTTCATATCTAGTTGCTGATGACCTGTAGAGATGAAAATCCATATGACTTTTGTATTGCTTTAATACAGGCGTCTGTGCCATCCCTACATAGATAGCACTGGCACACTGTTTGATAAACCAATAGTTGGTCATTTTTATGGTGATTGGTGCCTTCTTCAGTGGTGTGAAGATAATATTGGCTGTGTATCTTTTATAGCAGCCATGTTTCCATGAGGGCTTACAATAAGATGAAGAAGGTAGTAGTCCGTAGGGCTTTATACACAGACAATGATACATGTTATTATCTGATGAAGCAGTTTTTTGAGGTTTTTGTAATAGGTGCAGGATAGTAAAGGTACATGTGAAGAATTTCTAGACCATACACAAATGTGAGGTATTGTAACTAAATAAACAGAAAAAGTTTATATTTATTTAGATAATTTTGAGAAAGTAGCTTTTAGACCAGTGTGGCCCCAGAATTTAAGTAGATATAACTTTTGTTCATGGTGAAATTAAATAACATTAAAGTTTGCCACTTGCATATATGTTTGTATGTATGTTGCCATGACGTTGTTAGTCTAGCTGGGAGAAATATCACATACATACATACATATGAGGAAGTTAAACAAGATATACAACAGTAATATTATAAATAAATTTAAGTAATTATGCTTGTTGGGAGATGAAATTTGGTATTTTTATAACTATATAACAGTATCTTCTGAAATGTTTTTTCTCCCACTTTCATATAGGCATTATCTAAGATTGATTTACTCCAAAAGCAAGTAGAAAATTTAACTGGTGGGTCATTATTACGGACTTTACCTGGAGTATCTGAGTTAGAAACTATCTCTCTTGGAGAACTTAAACAAATAAAGGACCAGCTTAGAAATGAGTTAGACAGATTAGATAAGGTAAGTTTTTATATCTCAACGCTGTCATAACTTAATTCAGCTAAGCATGAGTAATACAACAGAAAATGAGACATTTTAATGTGTGTGAAGATTTAAATATATTGGAGTCAGATTGTTGTTAACACGTAAAAAATAATTCTACTATGACACGTGTGAATATGTATATTGAATGCCAGGTTAAGCCCCCAAGTGCAGAGTATATAGCAGTCAGAGATTTTATTGCAATGCCTTTGTAATCAGTCAGGTCTGTTGTGGCATGCTTCTGCAGGTTGATGAGGCTACTTATGATTTCATTGGGAAAAAAAGTAAAGGTATATAGTCTTTATATGTAGACATAATTTAAATGTGTGTGTCTATATATAAAACACAAAGTTCAAATGAAAAATGTCAATACTGGAATGCTACCATAGTTTTGATTTGTAGTGATTCAGATTTAGTTGTATTACATGTTTATTATATTAAGTTGAAAATGTGTTATTTAAGTTACTAGTGACCTAAGAAAGATGTTATGGGTGCTAACCTCTCCCCCCCCCCTCCCCCAACAACGAGGGTCGTGATAATTTTGTAATGGGAAAGTTAAAATACGGAAAAGTGTAGTACATTTATTTACCAAACCAAATATCAGCTAGTGTGCCTAATGGTGTTGAAATACTTCAGGTAATCTACAACACTGTTAACAATACTAGAGCTTTAACAGTAATTAAATGATTTGTGTGAGAGTGTTTGCTGATTTATTTTTTAATTTTTAGGACAGAATGTGATTATTTTTGTTTTTCTTCCATTGTGAAACTTGTGAGATAAATTAATAAAGTGAAAGGTAATACCTTTCAAGGTGAGCTTTACGAGTTTCAAGTATGATGTGTACCTTTCATAAAATTAAATGTTTTTTACCTAATGCAGTAACAAGTCCCCAGCAGGTTGGAAGTATATGTTTGTGTCTGAGAGATACTATATAACCTAGTGAGGAAGAATTGTTTTTATTTTGGTAGTGTTTGGTGTTGTGGCATCATACTTTCAGATTAAGGATTCATTTGGTTTATTGTGTGTTTTTCATTATTTATTTTCAGTAAGTTTATTTTAGTTTGTAATCTTAGGGCAACGAAATGTACAGTATAGTAAAAAAAATATGAATAGTGGACTTTGTGTGCTAATGCCATTATTCCAGTTTTTAGTAAGGTACAATAATTGTACCAAGCATTTATATATTTTGTAACCATAATGATATGTTGTTGTTGTTTTATTTTTATGCATACAAACATTTTCAATGTGTGGAAGAAATGTTTATTTGTAGAACTTTTATTCTTAAAAATTAATTACTGGCAAATTCCCTAAACCTTTTAGCTTACTAGTAACATATTTTTTGTAGGTTGTGTGTATGTTTTGTATTGTTTTTCAAACCCAGTGATTCTTAAGTACAAAATAAATTGTTTTATAGGGATCATAAGAAAATAAAAATAACATTGCTTGTAAGGAAGTTGTGACCTATGATAAATTGTTATTTGATGCTTTTACTATGCTGCTCGGATTTTTATCTAACAGTCACTTAATGTTTGTTAGGGTTAAATAGCTATTGCTCAGTGATAAAGCAGTAGAGTTGCCTATTTAATGAGAGGGGGAAAAAAGTTAATTTTAAGGAAAGAGATTTTCTATTAATGCTAATCACAAGTTACTGCTATCATAATTATTGTTAGTATTAAAGTGAGTTTGAGTAATATTCTTAGATCATTTATGTTCTACCTCAGTCAAAATATTGTTGGATTACCTCTTTCCCATGTCTAATCAGTTAAAAAACACTTCATGAAAATATGAGGAAAACATATTTTATAATCATACAGTGTTATTTGAGATGGTAAATACCCCTTATCTAGTTTACTTGTTTAAGAGTTAATAGTGTTTTTTGATTGTTGTTGGTAAACTAGTGATAATTTGTAAAAGAACAATTCTTTTCTCACTTAATACAAGTGAAAGTACCCGGCTTTGCTTGGGTTATTGGGTTAATATGTTGTATTCTAAACCCATTTTAGCATAAAAGTATAAACTATATACATTTGTTGCTAAGCAACATGACATAATAGCCATTGTTGGAATGCCAAAATGCATTGGTTTTTCTATATATTAGAAGTTGTTAAATAAAGAACCAATTTTTTTCTATGTGGTTTTTCACTATCTTGACTCATTAAAAAGATGCACATGCATACGTGGATAAAATAAGTAATACTCAGGTGCACACCTTCAGGGTCCACTTAGTATGGGTGCAGAATTTCAAGTTTCTCTGTTCTTTCCTCTTGGAGCTATAGCAGTTACACACACAGATGTGCATGCACGTGTGTGTCTGTATGTGATTTCTGTTTGTAGTATAAGGAACAACTCCTTTTCTATGTGGTTTTTAACTAGCTTTCCTCATAAAAATATGAGCATGTGCACATTCATGTAGATAAGAATTAATACCCAGGTGCACACCCTCAGGGTCCACTTAGTATGGGTGCAAAATTTCAGGTTTATAGATTCTTTGATCTTGGAGCTATGGTAGTCACATATTTTTTTCTTTGTGGTTTTTTGCTAATTTGCCTCACAAAAAGAGAAGTGTTTATGCGCGTGGATAAGTAATTATACCCAGGTGTACACTGTCTGTAAACTGTCAGATGATGACAAAATCTTGTTCCAAAACGTTTTGCATTTGCTGTTATGTTAAACTTGTATTAAAGTTTTCTTCATTACCCATTCAAGCCATCTCCAACCATTATTAATTGTCTGTTTTTAACTCTTTTATTATAAAAGAAACTAAACAGTCTTTTATATCTGACATGTACCCTCAGGGTCCTCTTAGTATGTGTGCAAAATTTAAGGTTTCTAGGTTCTTTCCTCTCGGAGCTATGGCAGTTCCACACAGACCCATAGAAACACCTTTTATTATTATTATAGATTGCAACTGATTTATTTCAGTCTATATATACTTGAATAAAAGAATATATAAAAGTTGTAAACTCTTGACAAAGGATCTAAAAGTTATGGTGATTTCATTTCAACTTCACTGAATATGTGAACAGAAGCTTGAAAATATAGGCACTGGGCTTAACTCTTGCACTCCAAGCAGGTTAACCCTATTGCCCTGGGTATCCTTTACTGTGCATCACACAAGGTTTGTGTCTTACATTCCATTTTATTATATCACTTTTTGTTTATGTTATACCAATTAGAATAGCATAAAATCTTAGCTAATAATCCATATTTTAGTAATATACAAGTTTTAAGTTCTTAATTCTACAAGGGAATATTTTGAAAAATTCTGAATTTCTACAAGTGTGACCCACATGATACATTTTGTTTTGGCATGTCAGCATCCATAATTTATCTAACACCCTTCAAAAATGTACAAAATTAAATGTAAATTACGCTCTATAAAATCATTATTGCTCAGACAGACCATAATTTTTATAGTCTTCAATTTTGTTTAGTTACAGAGCCATCGAATAAAATATCAGACCCCTCTTGCTACGCTCACCTGTCACATCTTCTCTTTCACAATTTGTTGATAGTTCTCTCTTACATTTCATTATATATTACCTATAGCCAATAGAAAGTCAAGGTTTTCATCTATCAAATGACGTATTGTATAACATATTCTCAACAGAATATCATCAATTTCACTCACAGTACAAGATTCGTTTTTGTGGAAAAGTTAATTACTAGCTTGAATGAATTTGTAACGGCTCTTGTCGCATAGTTAGAAAGCCAGGAAAATTTTGAGAGGTAAGTGAATTTGTCTACATTTTACATGTTATTAGTCTATATTTTTTGGTGCAATATTTAATTAAATAAAAATTATTAAGTGCTTTACTGTAACCACTTAAAGAAGATTGGGTAAGTACTTTATTTCTTGTTTTTCATATTTATTATTGTAAAAGTAACTAAAATACTAAAAATAGGGATCTTTTTTAAGT